GGGTGCCATCCTCACAAGGAGCCCATTGTTACAGCCACAGTGTCAACCCATCTCATTGTGTAGCTTCCTTTTTTTGCTGCCCTTCTACCTTACCAAGGAGCTCTGGTGGCTTAGTGAGTACAGGGTCTGCTGCTAACCGCAAGGTCAGCAGTGTGAAAACACCAGCCAGCTCAAAATGGTCTTTCTTCTCCGTAAACAGTCTCATAAACTCACGGGCAGTTCCACCCTGTCCTTCCTGTGGGGTCGCTATGACTTGGCATTGACTCAATGGCAGTGTTTGCTCTCCCCGCCCCACCCTGCTCCACTTTACTGAGCATGATCTCCGTCTCCAGGGAGGGGTCTTTCCTGATAACATGCTCCAAGTATGAGAGACCATGTCTTGCCATCCTGGCTCCTAAGGGGCATTCTGGCTACATACTCTGTAACTGAGGCATAAATCAGCCTTTGGCTTGATTCCTGGACCCTGGGAGCCCTGACTTTAAAAGACAAGACTAGAAGGCACACTCAAGGAAAGCATCCTAGAGGTAAGAGCAAATACATCGTCTTCCACTCCAGTCTTGCCTTCAGCCTCTCCTTGGCAGTCTTAGCATCCTTGACACCTAGCACTTATGAAGGACTCCGTGGTAGCTAGCATTACTAAGCTTTCCACACGTACGATCTCATTTAATCTCTGCACCATCACTACTCACAGGGGCTGCACGAACAACATCAGCTGCACCAGGATTTCCAAAGTTTCCAAGAGTGTTCAGGAGGCAAATGGCAGGGCTGGGGTGAGAACTCAGATCAGAAGCAGAGCTTCATTTTAAAACCTCTGCCAACCCTGAAGCCTGTTAAAGTTGGAGGATTTGCTCCCTGCGTTCTGGCGGGCACAACGTCAGCTGGAAGTTGCAATTTAGAGTAAACCTATCAAGTCACATACACACACCGCTCTTTATCAAATCCGTCTTGACTTGCATGCATGCCATCTGCCCGGGGCAGGCCATGAACCCTCAAGAAATGCTCAGCCTTAGAAATCTGCAGCCTGAACTTCATGTGCTTTCTGCATGGAAATGCTTGGGACATCCTTTGGCTTTTCATGTTTAAAACAAATGCGTCAGAAAAGGGTATGCCAGAAACATTTGTGGTGTCGAGTGAACCAAAATGCATGCCGAACCGGACTGTCTGCTGGCCGTGGCTTTTCCCGGAGGCTGCTCACATCCCTTCAGTCGCTCAGGTTTGAGCCTACAAGCTAGTGGGGTTTCCATGGCCATGGGGGCGCCGAGCTGGTAGCCGGGCTGTCCAGACGCATCCCTGCTGGGTTTGTGCTCATGATTTATACATCAACAAAAATGATTTGCCATCTGGTCCAGGATAAAGCCCCGAGGTCTATCAAAAGTGTGATCCATGGCCTGAGGACATGCCGGTGGGGCGAGAGAATTCTCTGGGTGTCCAGCAGACTGTGAGGACAGGTGGGGGACGGTGGGGGTGGGGGTGTGTGACATACACACGCTCCGACTTCAAAGCCCAACAGCTCTTGCTGCCAATGGAAATACGCAAGGAATGGCTCCCTTAATCCCCGTGGATGAAGGCATTGTCAAGGCTGCGATTCAGTCTGGGACACTTGGAGAATGTGTGAACACTCCTGGCAACAGTGGAAAGAGGCATCAAACCTGGAAACAATGCCATGTAAACTGGGGGCCTCATGTAGTTTTTCTGCGTGGAATCCTTACAGCAGTGTTGGGTTCACAGAAACGTTGTGTCGAAAATGCCCAGTTTACCTAAGATCCTTCTCCCTGCCTGCATCATGGTTTTAAAAGGGGCCTATGGACGAGTAAGGATTGACTCCATGCAATGAATTCTTGCAAGCCTGTCTTCCTTGAAGCTCCAGAATGTGTACCCTCTTTCAGGCATGCTTCTCAGGCATAAAGGAGGCAGCCAGTCTTGTGTGCTCAGTGCAGAGCAGAACACATACTCCTTACCTTGAAGCTGGGGCCCCTCAGACTGTAGTGGCACGTGAATAGGTGGGTGCAATGCAGGGAGTTAGTAGACCTGGCTTTTCTAGCTATAGTCTTTGGGTGAGAACCATGCAGATTGGGTAGAATTCCTCCTTTCCGAATGGATCTGGGTTAAGGAAAAATGGGAGGGCATGTGATAGGATTCTATGATTGTTAGGAGCGATGCTTAACAGGGTTGTGATTCTGAAAACTTGGAACACTAATCTGGGGATCGGTTGATTTTGCCCCTCTCCTGGGTTATCAAATGAGTCATTTCAGAAGGCTCATCTGGAATGGGGCTTGGGTGGGCAATCTCACTGCAATCAAGAGTTAAGGCCTAGGAACAGAGCATGTCATTTGGACCCCGAGATCCTCGTGTACAGACCCTCCTCAATCTAGAGGGCAGAACTGTGACACTGGGGGAGTGGTGGCAAGAGGACGAGAGCATTGGGCTTCCCACCCATGGAACAAATGAAGCTGAGTGCCTTTGGTCAGGAGGTCCACTCTTGTAGTAAGGTGCTTGCACTTAATCTGGGGAGCTGTTTGCCAACCCATGGAGCTGGGTTGGTCACCTTTGGGCAGAGGCTTACAGTGGAGTACCCACTGGACATTTATTGGCAGTGCTAACAAAACTTTGTAGCGTTGCGTGCGCAGGGAAGGGGTCAAGGAGCCTGCGGCTGAGGCTGAGACAAACATGCATAAATGAAGAACTGTATCCTGAGTATTTCAGATCCTAACTTGTAACCCGGTAACTCCCCCAGTAAACTCCTGAGTCATGAGTACAGTCTGTGAGCGGTGTGACCTTTGTAATAAACTATCAAACCCAGCAGAGAAGTAGAGTGTTTTGGAAGGGGTGGCTGGTGTTAGAAGTGGCTCTCGTCTCAGCCACTCTTTATGGTGTCCTGAGATCTCTATCTAACCTTAAGACATCATCTAAGTTTACCCACTTCCCGGAGGGAGGAGGCATGCCTGACCTCTGTCCCCTATGAATTGGTTCTTGGGTAGTCTAGACTTGCCCTTGTGAAGGCATGTCAGACACTGCCTTCCACGCCCTTCTTACCGTGGGCATCTGGTTAGATTCATATTCAGGTCCAGTAGCCAGGGCTCATGATTCTGTATTTCTGACAAGCTCCTGGTCTCTTTCTTAGCAATGAAAGGCAATAAATATGTCTAGTTTAAGGAACTTAGGAGATAAGAATACAAGGGGGTACCCCCGCCCCCCAACCTGGAATTGTGCTGGGTGGAGCTTTCATAGTAGTATGCATTTTCCTGCTAGGCGGGCATGAAGCAACTCGCTGATTTAGTGCACTCAGTGGCATCACTGGGGAAGATTCTCTATGGAAACAGTGAATGTTTTAGTACAATCAGTTTTGCCCAAACCTCATTTTTCTGTAATAGCCAATTGAAGAGAACAGTGTGCAGCTGTGAAACTTTGATTCCTGCTTGGGGAAAAGGTTACGGAAACTGTTTGATGTTGAACAGAACTTACAAGGACAGCACTATGGGAAAAACTCGAGGGTACTAGTGGTTTTTTCATTTCAGAAAAGGTGAAATGCCCATTGATGACAAAGAGTGTTCTGGACGTCCATCAATTTCCCTGAAAAAAATGCTGACAAAATTCAAGTCCATGTGCTGGAAGACTGACAAGGAGCCATTGAAGAGATGGGGGGGCGTTATCTGGGCTATCTTGGAGCTTGGTTCGGAGAATTTTAACAGAATAGTTCGGAATAAAAGGTCGCTGCAGAATTTGTGCCTCAGCTTCTAACTGACCAGGAAAGATAGTCTCGGGTGGGAACATGTACTTTGAAAGAACAGCTTTGAAGCGACCAGACTTTCCCCCAAGGTCATTACTAGTGACGAGACATGGTGCTATTCTTACAACTGGGAAAAGAAACATCAATCAAGCCAGTGGAAGACACCATTGTCATGTCACCTCCCCCCAAAGCTCATCAAGTGAAGTCAAAGGTCAAGATGACGCTCATTTGTTTTTCTGATGTGAGGGGGACAGTGCATTTGGTGTTTGTTCTACCAGGTCTGACTGTTAAATCAAACTTTCTATTTAGAGGTTCTGAAAAGATTACATGACAAACAAGGCCTGATGTGTGGGAGACGGGGCCTGTTTCTGCCACCATGACAATGCACCTGCTCACACAGCCATGTCAGTGCGCCACTTTCAGACAATAAGCAGCATGCCTCTTATGTCCCATACATCTTACTCACCTGACCTGGCTCCATGTGACTTCCTTTTGTTTCCTCAGATAAAGAGGGACATGAAAGGACAGTGATTGAATGAAGTAGTAAAGGAAAAAACAAGGGAGATGCTGTCAGCCATCCAAACAGATGAGTTTGAAAAATGTTTCCACGAATGGAATCACAGATTTGACAAATGTTATTGAGTGCTGTGGGGGGAGTACTTTGAAGGTGATGAGGTTGTTGTGTAAAAAATTTAAATACATAGCTTTGAAAAAAATTCAGTTTTGAGGGGAGGGGGGTCCCCCTTGTACAAATGAACCCCGACAAGATCATTTGTTTTAAGGTGCATACCAGGGGAAGAGCTGGTGACCTTTTACTTCAGACTACACTGGTGCATCGTTTTCTTCCATGATAGACCACCCAACCAGTTGCCACTGAGTCGGCACTGACTCAGGCCTCCCGTGATATGGGGTGGGACTATGCTCCACTGCTCCACAGGGTTTTCAATGGCTGTTGTCTGTTTTGTTTTGTTGAAGTGGATCTCTAGGCCTTTCTCCCGAGGTGTCTCTGGGTGGAGTCACTCCTCTGGCCTTCCAGTTAGTAGCTAAGCGTGTTTAATAGTTTGCATCACCCGGGGGCTGCACGTTTCTGTGGCAGCACCGATGAATGGCCCCGGTCCCTTTGAAGAGAACACCCTGAGAACTCAGAGGGGTCAAAGTGCACTTGCTTCTGAATTCACCATCCCCACTTAAGTCTTGAACCACGGTGTACTTCAGGTGGTAAGAAACCAGGCCCGAGTCTCATCAACATGTTTTCAGATGGTTTTATTGATTGTCGATGATCACAAACAGCTTTAGGGGTTAATGCTTCCTATGTGAGGAAGGGCGAACCATTCCTAAATGACTATGTACCTATTCCTTTATTAGCACCTGCAAAGAAAAAACGACTGCAGTGGGTTCCGCTCAAGTTAGCTGGTCTCTAGTCTCTGTTCTCACTTCCTTATTGGCCACAAGAACTTCACAAGGAAAGGAAATGGGGGTTAACAATTAAGCAACTACATGCTAGTCAGTAAACAGGAACGTTAACCGATGAACCAATTAGGCAACATACAACAGTGCTTCATGAAGAATTCTGAAGATAACACCAGTTTGGGAACAAAGTGCAAGAACCTTTGCCATAAAATTCCTCCACCTATCACAGTTCTATTCAAAAGGAGGCTTGGAATAATCTAATAGTTTCAAGTATGTTTTTAGGCTACAGCAGATTGTTTTGCACACAGGAGAAATACATAGATTGCACGGCAACTTGGTGACTAAAATGACTATATGGATTATTTATATTCACATTATATGTCAAGCTTATTATGTCCATTCCTTCTCCCAGGCCTCATGATCTCTTGTTCTGCCTGCTGGCTTCCAGATAAGAGTGGGATGTAAACGTGCGGGTGGAAGCCAGTGGGTAGGAACAGGGCATGTCTCTCCATATCTGATTTTAGTACTGGCTTTGTCAGTGCAGGCAGCGGCTTTGTCCCTGCATGGCACCATTTCCCACATTTCCCCCCCAAGTCCCACCTGCCACTGGGAAACCGCTAGCGCGGGGCTAGTTCCTATGGATTGTCTCAACTTCTGGACTCTGGGGTCCACTCCTTGTCTGACCCTCATAGCCACAGGCATAGTCGCAGCTTTATACTGTCTAGCTTTTCTTGTATCATCTATGTCCATCAACCCCCTGTTATTAAATTCCCTCTGTTGACACACCGACAGTGGTTTGGGTTTTCTTGACTCGATCCAGACGGATATCTATTTTCTTCTCTTATCGGTGCATTTAGATCCCAAGCCAATAATAAATAAATAAGTAAATCCCTCAAACCACACTCATATCCTGAAATAGGGGTGAACGTATATCCCCTCTGCTGTTCTTTGTTGAGTGCTTCATGTTTTTTGGCCAGGTGCAGATATGGATTTGGTTTTCTACTGAGGTCAACGCCTATCTGAGTGCGCACAGTCACGTATCAACCTAGGAGGTCACTGGTGTTGTGTTCTAAGAGTGAAAACAAGGTAGAAGAAACACAAACATACTCTAACGTCGAGAGAGCACTGCTGAGTCATCTACTAGAGGAAACAAAAGGTGGCTGAAAAAGAAAAATCAGAGAGACATTAAGACAGCACCACACTGTTTCTTCCGTTTGATTGGTCCATTTCCCTAAAATTACAATACCTTAGAAATTTTGGATAATTTAAGAGCCTCCAAAAATAGATCTGATTCATGAAGAGATGATGGATGCGTACACAGCTTCTGGGCTAGACGGCACCCTCGGGGTGGCGTTTTTTGCTGAAGTAGACTTCTTTAGTGAGCATCGACATGACACACGGAATCTGCTTCTTCGAGTGGAGGCTGGGGTTGTCAGAACGGGATTCATAGTCCCTGGCCACCTTGCAGTTCACTCTGGTGAGGATCTGCATGATCTCCAGGGTTTTCCCGTGCTCGTTCAGGACGGAGCAGAGGGCCTGCACAAACCAGGAGCCTTTTCCCGGGCTCCTCCACGAGTAATAGCCTTTCACGGGAGAGAAGGGAGAGGATTGCGGGTCAGCACTGAGCAGCAGCTGGGGGCCTCACACCTACTTTTCGGAACCGCTTCTGCTCTACTTTGCATGAAAATCATGCGAACCAGCTCGGTGAGCTTGGGGTGCAGGCGTCCTAGACTTAGGGGGTGCCATTGAGGCGCTCCAGGTCGGTGGGAGGGGAGGTGGCAGCACGCTCTATCAGTTTTGATGGAGGCACCTATGGGTTTGTGAGCTACCTCCGCACAGGGAATTTCCCCAAGGAATGCTGTAGAGCCGACGCTAGAACTCTGGGATTCCTCACCATCTTTTTTGGAGGATGAATGCTACTTTCTAACCCAATTTGAGAGAAAATCAAACAAACCTGCAGGGGAGCGCTGAGAGACTTCCCAGAGCTGTTCTGCGACACCTCTGGGAGGACTCGGACCTCCAGTGTTTCAGTAAGCAGTGGGGCACGTTAACCGTCTGCATTGTCCCGGGCTCCTTCTTGAGCAGATTAAATAATGGCCTATCTTCTAAGACCCTTAAATGGCTCCCAAGTAGGGTAGTGGATGACACGTTGTGCTGCTCTCTGAGAGGTTAGCAGTTCGAAACCACCCGTGGTTCCTTGGAAGAGATTTACAGCCTAGGAAACCCAAGGGGGCCAGTTCTACTCTGTCTTACAGGGTTGCCATGAGTCAGAATGGGCTCGATAGAACCTTAAATCTTAAGAAGTTATTAGAGTCTCACCAAATCCCATCTGTGTATCCTGCCCGAGTTGCCTTTCCAAACCCAGTGACCTGTGTACCACAACCAATACTTTTCTATCAAGAGCTTGACCAAGTTCCTACAGTAGCTGGAAGAATTCTTAGATGGCGGCGGTGCTTCCCAACTTAAGAACTTGAATGGACCCCTTGGATAGACATGGCGCTTGGTAAACAAGGGTAAGACAGAAGGGGCTCCAGTGGGGGTTCTGGTCTGTGCCACTCTTTAGGGTGTCCTGTGGTCTCTATCTGACCTTGGGTACCTCATCTAGGTTCCCCCACCTGTAATGTTTCCCCTATCTGTGAAACCAGGGTAGCAATAACATTCGCCCTAGCTATCTGCCGGGGGTGGGGATGGGGGTTAAGGATGGCGCGATGTGGACGGTCTGAAAAGCCCCCTGTAAACTCAAGACCCTTCGCACAAGATGGGCGGACACAGTGGCTGCAACATTGGGTGACAGCGCAGCAGGGGTTGAGAGGACGGGGCAGGAGCGGGCGGTGTTTCCTTCTGTGGCGCATGGGGCGTCTCTGCGGACTGGGGACACAACAGCACCAGACAGCAGCAAGGTGTGAGAAATGCCCGTCCTGACCATTCACTGAGCAGGGTAACGGGAGAACTCGGCTCTCCGGGGAAGAAAAGCAACTACGTCCCTACAGTAGGGAAAATAATGCCTGTCCCTCCGGCACCGCCCCTTCCCCCTTCCCCAGAGAAGCCTGCACGCATCATCTTGGAGCTGAGAATGTTTCCTTACGTACTGACGCGGCCTTGGCAGATATGGCTAGAGGTATGGACCCCAGGATGGGGATACGACCCTGGATTACGTAAACCAGTCACAGGGTTCTTTGAAGGTGGAGAACCTTTCCTGTGTGTGTGTGTGTGTGTGTGTGTGTGTGTGTGTGTGTGTGTGTAGAGAGAGAGAGAGAGCGGTTATGAAGAAGGGCCGGCTGCTGCCTCTGAAGATGGGCAGTGATGACGGCCACATGCCGATGCAGACTGCCTCCAGACGCTAAAGAGGCCAGGCAATGGATGCTGCACTCGAGTTTCCAGAAAGGAACACAGCCTTACCAACACCCTGATTTCGGTTAACTGGGACCTGGGTCTGATAGCTGAACTCAAGATCGCCTGGATCGCACTTCCGCATGGGCTTCAGCCACTGTGTGCGCGCCTCTGCAGCAGCGGCAAGAACCACCAGCGTTTGGCTGATGGTCTGGGTGGTACGGTTAGCACACTGTGGCCTTGACTGGATACCTGGGACAGTGGAATAAGCGATGAGAAAGTCCGCCTCCACTGGGATCTTGTATTGGGAATCAGGATCAGTGTCCCCCACAGTGCCTGAGTCGGCCTGGATCCCGTCATCCAACTCGGTCCCGCGGCAAGCCTAAAACCAAAGTAGAGATGGTCCTTGGTGTGGGAGGAGACATGTGCGCCTCATCCAGGGCTCTGACCCACGACGTGCTGGGTGAGGGATGGGAGCTGGGCTACGTCATGAACAGGTGAATGAATGAATGAATGAATGCTCTGCTGAATCACTAGGCAAAGCAAATCAAATGCTCCTCATAGGAAACATACACACGACTAACACGCCCACAGGAAGATGCTCAGCATCCTTAGTCACTAGAAGCACCCGTCCAAACCACGAGATGCCGCTGCACACCCACTCAGATGGCTAATATTACAGAGCCAGAGGGTAACAGCCATTGGCGAGGATGTGGAGAGCCTGGAACGCACAAGCACGGCTTGTGCAAACGTGCCGTGGTACAGCGGGGGACAAAGCTAGGTGGTCCCTCAGAAAGCTAAATGCAGAATGACCCAGGCCCCAGGATTCCACTCGTCCCTATAGACCCAAAGCAGATGCAAGCAGCTGTTCAAATTAAAATACAAGCCCCGTCCCCTCCACTCCCGCTCTCCTCCCCGCCCCCGCACTGTCAACTGCATTGGCCCTGGGCAGCAAGTACCTGGATGAAGAAGAGCTTGGGTTTCCCTAAAAGCGTTCTGCATCTGTCGCCCCGGAAGCAGGAGGTCAAGTCCTTGATGAGGACCACCCCGTCTGTTCCATAAATGCAGTTCTCTTCGCCGTGGCTTAAGAGGACGCACACAAAGCAGGCGGAATCCGTGTGGTCCTCTTCCGCGGCTGCAAACAAGACGGTCGGCCCGGAACAGTCAGCACGCCACACTCCAAGCCCCCCGGGTGTGCAGCCCCCTTCCAGCCGCTGGCTTTCTGTGATGGTGGGACCACAGAGAGGGGGGAAGCAGGAGCTGGGGGACAGGTTTCTTGGGAGGGACTGGACTTCCCCGAGGCCACTCCTTTCAAGCACTTGACCTAAATCCCCCTGCACCCAACAGGGCCTCCCCCAGGCGGTGTCATGCAATAAGACACACACAGCTGTGTGTGTGTGTGTGTGTGTGTGTGCAAGACCAGCTCGCATGTTCAGTTCTGTCCCTGCTCACCGTAGGCCACTCATCCTCCAGCGTGCCTCCCCGCGTCGATAAACTGGGCGCGATGATGCTGTTTTACAAAGTGGCAAGGTTTGGGCTGAAGGTCTAATGAAATGATTGTGGGAACATGCTTTGCGAAAAGTAAGTGGATTTGAGAAGTGCATGGGGATTATTCAAGGGGTTATCGTGTCAGCACAGGAATCCTCGAGGTGCAGGGGGTGGTCGCTGCTTGGGCTGAGATGCTAACTGAAGGTCCGCTGTTTGAACCCAGCAGGGGTTCCGAGGGAGACAGAGGCGGGTGTCTTCTTCCAGACAGATTGACAGCCTCAAAAACACCAGCAAGCAGTGCCACAGGATCCCTATGAGCTGGAAATGACTGGATGGCCGTGGGTTTGGTTTCGTGGCACAGTGGTTAAAGTGCTTGGCTGCTAAGTAGAAAGCTGGTGGTTCAGACCCACTTGTAGCTCCACGGGGACATTAGAACTGGAGAACCGCTTCTGCAAAGCCTAACTCACTGCCATTGCGTCTCAGCGGCCCTGTCAGACCAGGGGGGATCTGCCTCTGTGAGTTTTGGAGACTGAAACTCTTTATGGGAGTAGAAAGCCCTGTCTTTCTCCCATGGAGCTGGCTGGTGGTTTTGAACTGCAGACCTTACCAGTCAGATGCATAACCACGAAGCCACCAGGGCTCCTCGGCAGAGGGGACAGCCCAGGAAACTATCAGACTATCAGTTCTCCCGTCCCATAGGGCCACTAGGAGTCAGCACAGACTTCATAGCACACACACTGAGCATGACTGTTCTCGAGTTTCCACCAAGGGTGGGGGAGAACCTTGGAGAACCACAGTGACGGGTTTGATAGCTTTGAACATGCTGGTGTTTCTTCTGGGTACACATGGGATGGGATCAACAAGCCATTCATGCATGCATCCATCCATCCATCCATCCATTCAACATCCATCCATGCATCATCCAAACATCCCATCCAACCATGCATCATCCATCATCCATCCATGCATCATCCATCATCCATCCATCCATCCTTCCATCCATGCATCATCCATCCATCCATGCATCATCCATCCATCCATCCATGCATCATCCATCCATCCACCCATCCATCATCCATCCAACCATGCATCATCCATCCATCCATCCATCCATCCATCCATGCATCATCCACCCATCATCCATCCATCCATGCATCATCCATGCATCTGTCCATCTACCCACCCATCCACTGTAAACAGGGAAGAGTTGACATTTAAACTCCACTCTGGACAGCATGCTTTAGACTTGTCCCTTCCCTAGAGCTACCCTTTTGAAACGGAGAGCATTCTGTATACACAGACCTTATTTCTCTGGCTATCATTTAAAGGTCCTTTCCTCAAAGAGGCCTGCCTACTCAAGACAGGTATGGACTGGTGAGAAAGCAAGCCTTCCCACACTGGAATCCCTCTGCCTCTACAGGGCGCCCTCTCGAGGCCGCCGTAGGTACTGCTTCTCCAAGCACACACAGGACGCTGCACACGCACGCATACCTTGTTTAAGCAAGGACTCCATCTCATCACAAGAGCAGTTGTTGCTGACGGCCACTTCGAAGCCCAGGCTTCGGAAGCACTTGAAAAGAGCCTCGGCGTCTTTGTCAGTCCCGTGCCGGGTGCTCATCCCTGAGGGAATCAAGCACCAAGTCAGTGGTCCAACCCTGCCCTGCGGGTGCCGCCAGGTATCCCCAAGAGCTGCACGCATGCCGGCTACTAACGGAAACGCTGGGGGTTCAAGTGCACCCCTGGGAACCTTGGGCAGAAGGCATGGTGTGGATGGAGATCCACTTCCCAAAACCAGCCACTGGAAACTCCACAGAGCGCAGCTCGTTCTACACTGGTACCCCGAGTATGGGTCACCCCGAGTCAGAGTCAATTGGAAAGAAATTCACACCGAACTCACACCACCGTGTCAGTTCTGACTCACGGAGACCCCACAGGACAGGGTAGAACTGTCCCCATGGGTTTCTGAGACTGTCACTCTTTACAGGATAGAAAGCCTCAACTTTCTCCGGAGGAGTGACTGGTAGGTTCGACCTGCTGACCTGGATAGCAGCCCAATGAGCAACGACTACGTCCCAACTCCCTCAAAACAAACAAACAAACAAATCCCAAACTCTCCTGACTTCAGGTCACTTCTGACCCACAGCCACCCTAGACGTGCCCTAGAGCGGCCCCTGTGGGTTTATGAGACTGTTAACTCTTTGCAGGAGTAGAAAGTCTTGTCTTTCTCCCATGGAATGGCTGGTGGTTTCGAACTGCTGTCCTTGCAGTTGGCAGCCCAGTGAGAAACCATGATGCCGCCACGGCTCCTCATGGGAAGCAACTCCAGCTGACGGTCTTCGAGTGGATTCTGACTCCCGGTGACCCTCGAGAACAGGGTAGCACTGCCCCTGTGAGTCTGAGACTGTAAATCTCTACCCCAGGACACAGTCCCATCTTTCCCCTGAGGAGCACCTGGTGGTTTCGAATTGCTGACGTTGCAGTTAGCAACCCAGTGCAATGACCACTCCGCCACCAGGGATCCTGGAAAGCAACTGGTGGGCTACGAACACTTTCTCATGCAGCCCCACGGGTATGCTCTGGGGACAAGGAAAGCCTTCCAAAGTCCCATTTTAAAGGAGCAAATGAAATGAAAAAACAAAACCCACCCAAAGGGTAGAGCCACTCACATGGCCCCAAAAGTGAGCCCCATCTTCACAACTCAATTCGTCAGAGGCAAACAGCTCCTACAGTCTCCCCTTTCTTCTTAACCCGTCTCAGCCCCCATGCAATGCGTACAGTGTTGGCTCCCACTGGGAGCTCCTGGCATCCTGGCTCGGCTTCCCTCTAGAGGGAATGCCCACTTGGACACAAGTATAAGGAAATGGAAGGGAACCCGAAGGGCCAGGCCATGCCTCTGTCCCCTACCTGTTGATTTATCGAAGCTCTTATTGTTGATGATGATACATTTGCCCAGCTTCTTAAAGGTCATGTTGTACTCGTGGGATGGCACCTCCTCCTGGTCCTGGGAGACCTTGACAGTTGGCATTGGCTCCGCCTTCTTCTTCTTCCTGGGGAAATACAGAGCTGGTCAGGGGCGATGGAAGGAGTTTCTACAGTCACGGCCTCTTGATTTTACTAGGAGGCTCCTAAGAAAGCTTGCCATGGCAGCGGTGATGGAGGGTGACCAGCCACGGACAGGTGGGTGTCAAATCAAAAAGGAACAACTTCCTAGAGGTTCATCCACATCACAGGGATGTCAATGCACAAGCATCAGAATAGCGACAGTGTAAAACGAAACTGTGAAGTCCCCTACTCTTAGCACCTGGAAATGATTACAGATTACTGAGGGGTGTCAACTTCCGATGTTCCTTCGGGAATATGAGGGTCTACGACAGCCACACTTCTGCATGGCCAACAAGCCAACAGAGGTACTCCAGAACATATACCCACAGGAATGCAAACACGTGTTTCCCACACGTTGTCACAGAATTGTCACAGATTGAACTATGTTCCCCACGAGGGCTGTGTGGCAATCCTTGCACTGGGCACGATGGGCGAGACCTCGCTTTGTGTTGTGCACAAATCGAAATACTTGCACGGACTGGATTTCCTTACAGGAGGACACACATGATCCCAGCACAGGATATCTCTGTGCAGGATAGCTCGTGGAATGCCCCTTTTGACATGTGACATTGAGTGAATGCAATGCCAATCCTCGTGACCGAATCATCCCTGGAAGAGTACGCCAATACCGTCCATGTCAGCTCCAGTCTGGGGGCATGGCACCTGACATCAGGATGTCGGCCCTGGATGATTGATTACTTCTGGGGACCCTGAGGGAGAGCATGCTCCATGCTTCTGGCGACGACCACCCATCCTGGATGTCTCTTAGCATGCTGTGGAGGCAGCACCCCAGACTCTGCCTCGGTCTTCACGTGGCCTTGGTCCCTGTGTGCCCCTTTTCGTTCAGAAGACACCCCTCATACTGGATTAGAAGCCACCCTGCTCCAGCACTCCCTCATGCAGATTTAACTGACGATATCTTTAAGAACCTCATGTATCTGCACATGTGGCTCTCAGGGTGAATCATTCTTTTATTCTTGTTCTCAGAATCCCTGAAAGGACGATCCAGATGACAGATGAGCCCTGAGATCTAGCCTTCAGGTGCCTGACCACTACGTTTAAATTCAATGCACTTTACCCGCTAGTCAGCTGTTCTAAACCTGCGGGTCACGGTCCCTTTGGGGTCGAATGACCCTTTCACAGGGGTCCCCCAATTCATAACAGTAGCAAAATGACAGTGAAGTAGCAACGAAAATAATTTTATGGTTGGGGGGTTCACCACAACATGAGGAACTGTATGAAAGGGTCGTGGCATTAGGAAGGTTGAAAACCGCTGCTCTACGTGAATGCGGTCAGTATCATAGGATGGGAGCCCTGGGGATGTAGTGGTGATGCACTAGGCTGCTACCCAGAAGGTCAGCTGTTCGAAACCACCAGTTGCTCCATGGGAAAAAGCTGAAACTATCAGTGATAAGATAATACCATGCTTATCAGGAAGACCAGTTATATGACTACCATTCACATCCTCACCCCAATCACGAATGCCAACGAGGAAGAAATTGAAGCAACTTCTGCAGTCTGAAGTGGACCAAGCCTGCAATCCTAATGCACTGGTCACCAGAGTGTAAAAGTGGGCAGCAACGATGACCCTGGGCACGAGGGCACAAAGGAGGAGGTACAAGTGTACTGTGTAGTCTTGGGCCACACTGTGATGTCCCATGAAGCTGTGACCCTAGCCTTCTAAACCTAGGTGCAAACCCCACAAGGTGTTTGGCGCTACATAAACAGCCTCCTTCCTGCCCCCAGTGGCCAGCACAACAGCCCACTGGACTTGGGGTCTAAGCTTGGCCCCATCTACTTCTGTGACCCCGGCCCTGTGCAGAGTGCCAGCTTCCTTATCTGGAAAACGGAACTAGTTATGCCCAGTTGGTAAAAGCATGATGAAATTGTTGGAAAAATAGATCAGAGACTTGGTGGCAGCAGGCACTTCCTGTTTCCTAAACTTGTCCCCTCCCATGCCCAGGCCACCTAGACTCTCAGGGAAGTGAGTTTCTGTGCGGCTCTCGCCATGCAGGCCACTGGGGGAGAAGTAGGATTTACTCCATTACTGCTGCCCTGTCACTGACCCTTGCTTATCGACGATGGAGTCCTCTGGGCAAGGTCTTTCATATGCACACACCATCTCTGGACCCAGACGTGCGATGCGCTGACTCTCTCACAGAGCTCTTTCTTCATGTCTGGTCTTTACTGCTTCCTCCAAGTAACCTTGGCTTTCCCGATAGGTCTGGGTAAGAAGGCGGGTGTGTGGGGGGGGGTGGGGAGGTGGAGGTGGGGGGAATACTGATTGGATTTTATGATTCAGATGTGAGTGATTAACAGGATGGGCATCCAGAAAATTCTGCTGGGTATAGAACCAGCCATCTCAGAAGAAGGGGGGATTTCATGACCAACCAATGGGATGATCCAGGAGCGGAGCCTGTCTTTTGGACCCTAAGATCCCTGTGCACGGAACCTCCTTGATCCGGGAGTCAGCTCTGAGGAGACAAGCAGCAGCAAAACCAGGAGCCAGAGCAGAGGACCTGCTGGCCTACAGAGCAAGTGAAGCTGAGCGCTTTGGACCAGGAGGGCAGCTTGTGGAGTGGGATGCGTCTGGGCCCTTAATTAGGGGAGTGAAGTTTGCTGACTCACAGAGGTGGAGCTGAGCCTTTGGGTTAAGGCTTAGAGGAGAGGAGCATGCCCTTTGGGAATTTATTGGCAGCTCTAAAAGAGCTTTGTAACATTGCCTAGGCAGGACCGAGGGCAGCCCAAGAGGCCAAGGGCCAGCGAGAGGTCTGGCTGCGGGCACGGCAGAGAAAAACTGTGCAGACCAAATGACTGCATGCTGAGCCTCTCTCACCTGCATGGAAACCTGACAATTTCCCTAGTAAGCCCCACCATCATGGGCTCTGTTTGGCTGCTGCAGTGCATTAAGTGTGAAGAGGGTGCACTGTGGGAGGGACAAGAGGGCCCCTGGGAGGTGTTGAGAGGTGGCATAGCCATGCCCCTTTTACAGGTGGCAACTAGTATGCACACTTAGCAGTGCTTACTATGGGCTGGGGAGGTCCCTGGTGGAACAAATAGCTTGCATTTGACTAGCCGCTTTTAAAGGTTGGGGCTTTGAACCCACCCAGGAGCACCAAGGAAGAAAAGGCCTGCAGGTCTGCTTGTGGTAGGCAGGCTTCCTGTGGCTGTCAAGTGGACTCTGCCACCTACTGACCCCATCCAGGCAGAAGGTGACTGCCCCACGGGGTAATTTCCAAAGCTGTGATCATCACAGAAGCAGGTCGCCACATCTTTCTTCCAGGGAGCCGTCGGCTGATCCTCTGGTTAGCAGATGACCACGCTCACCACTGCACCACCAGGGGGTCTCCTGTTCCCACCACGGCCAAAAAAAACCCTCCGGGGAGGTCTCAGCGACAACATGGGATGGCCACCGGTTGGGTCAACCCAATGCCAACTCTCAGCCGCCATCCCCACCACCCTATGGGCTGGGGGCCTTGTTGAAGCTCTCACCTGCATGTTCTCCTTGGCTCCTCTCACATCCACCCAGATGACTAAGCAGTTAGGTGCTTGGCTCAAAGTCATGTTGTGGCTGGCACAGCAGGTCCAAGCCCAGGAGCCGTCCTCCTACACACTGACAATGGAGAGTCTCCGGATGGATGCAGTCAGGTGATGAGCTTCCAGACAAAGGCAGGTCTGGAGGCTCTAGAGAGGCCACCCTGTGTTCCTGACACCATGGCTGACAGGAGAGTGGCCACGGGACCCTCCTGAGGAAGTCCATTGAGCGGTGCATCCTGGGAGCCTTCTCTCTCCACAGGCACGGAACTGAATGTGCCTAGCGGGGTGGGCAGTGTCCTGGGAAAACCAACCTTGGACCTCAGAGTCTCCAAAGGAGAGAAGGTATGTGAAAGTATTAGGAAACCTACGTGCACCTGCCACGGATGGGCCAGGGGCTTCTGAAAGCCGTCACCTGTGTGGAGCCATGCCGCAGCTTTTGCGGAGAGCTGAGCTCCAGTTACAGCTGAGGCGTGACCCCTGCGGCCTGGCCGCCACGGTGTCCGCTCGCTCTGCTCTGCGGCAATGCCTCAGTGCTTTGAACAAACACTATCTTAGACACTGAGATTCGGAGATGGAGTTTACTCCTCTCCTGGCTTCCAACGTTTGAGGATGTTGGTGGATGACCTGTGATCTTTCTTAACATGGTCCTGCTGGCTCTCAACAAAGGCAGCTTTAGGATGGGCTTCATCGAGCATCCTCTGCAATCCTCCCGAAGATGCGGTGAGAGGAGAAGAAACTGAGGAAGGAGTCTCTCACACACCCCCTATTTCAGGGCAGGAGTCCGCGCCCTAGAGCCAACTTTCGGCCATTCCATGACCTAGGACAGCATTGAGTCTGGATGGCCAGAGGTCATGCTACATACACTAACGCTCTCCAAGAGAAAACGAATTCTACTTCTGTATTTTGTACTATGGGCGATTTTAAACCAACCATGGACCACAGTAAACAAACCTCGTTTGGGGTTTTGGTGGGGCTCTTTTAAACCTCCCCTAAGCTGCTGCTAAATAATTCCAAATGATCACAGCAAGCATCCTTCCTAAGAAGAGCAGGTTCTGATTCCAGGGGTCTTCCAAAGGTTTGTGGGCCATTCCATTATCTGTCAGCACAGCAAAAGCTGGTTTTTCTTAGACTGGAACCTGCCACAGAGCTGGTCAAAAGTAAACCCGTAAGGAGAACAACGATGCACAGTGCACAGAAAACCCCTTTCAGGGCTGCAAAAAGCACCCTACATTTCACCCCGAAGGGACGCTGACCTCTGGCCTCGCAGCAGGGGGCAGGGAGGGTGTCCCTTACCTGGCCCGCCACTCATTTGAACCTGTTTTAAAAAGTATATGTAATAACCTGCTTCCTCTTTCTGGAGAATACTCAACCCAAATCCACTTTCCCATCTAACCAAAACAATTCTGGGAACCACGTCTTCCCAG